TGGACTTTAGGTATGTTCTGAGAGTTTTTAACCCTGTAATCTCAGTGGATGCTGATACAATTTTGACTTGCATCCAAAGAGTTAAAATGGTCTTCCACTTTTATGTTTTAAAAATACAGCACATGTTTTAAAGATTTAGACCTTTTATTCAAATTTTTGGAGGTTTTTTTTTCTTCTTCACTAAAGGAGGGTTTGACTGAGGGGGTGGGGTCCATCACAAGCTCCTCACTCATATAGCATGTAGAGCTTGATAACCTTAAACGTCGATGCTGCTTCTGTCTTTGGGAGAGAGGCTTTCGTTACATTCTTCTCTTGCCTTCTCAGTGTACCAGTTAAACAGTCTGCAGGAGCAGAAACAAACTGCAGACGAGGACAAAACCCATAATCTCCTCTGCCGGTGCTCCATGGCGCCGAATAGGCCTCTCAACAGGACCCCTATTCATGTAGTCTGAGGTGGAAGGGCTTCTGGTATCTTTTTTCCAGTTCATGAAAAATGACAGCAGGCTGGGGATGGGGGACCCTTACCACTGCAGCTCATAAACTGCATTAACTGTCTGGTTTACCCCCACTGTAAAAACCATGTGTCTTCAGTTGAAATTCACTGTAGACAACGGAACTGGACAGATGTGAGTAAGACTTATCTGAAGGTTGTTTGAGGCCCTCCATTTAAGGGCCTAATGTTAGTAACTTTGGTCATTTTTAATTTCCAAATTAACACTCTTATTTAAATATATTTAATATTGTTCCCTTGGTAAAACCATGTATTTAAAATGGATATTAATGTTTCGGTTTGACTTCATTGTAATTATAACTTTTGGGTCCTATATCCATGGCAACTGTATCATATTTTAAATTGGTGAGAAATGCCATATTGCAAAGCCTTGTGGGGCTTCACAGAGCTAGTGAACCTCCCAGCTGTTGGGAGGCGAGACACAGTAAAGAATCTGAGAATTTACATATTGGAATTCAGAACTGGAGTGGCATCCTGTGTCCAAGTGTTTGTCCACTGTTTTGTGGATGCGTTACATACACATTGTAGAGATGATGATTATGGTTTCCTTAAGTGTGGAAGGTTAACATTTAAACAAGGGTTACTGATTTAATTTTAAACATGCCATGTTTGTGTGGGTGTCTTAGCTTCACCTTTAGGCATGAAGCTTACAGCGCAACAATGTTGGTTCCTATTTAACTAGCTCACAATCATGCTCTGAGCTTGTTAACCTCAATTATTTTCTGGATTTTTTTTAATAGTACATCCATCCATCCATCTTCTATAGCCAATTGTGCCTATAAGCTCTGATTCCAACCCTGAATAGGACAAGGCAGGGAACAACCCAGATTGGGACACCAACCCATTGCAGGGCTCAGTCATGCATCATTTACACTTGTGGGCAATTTGGTCACTCCAATTAACCTCAGCTTGTTTTTGGATGGGGGGGGGGGACCAGAGTAGCCTGAGCATAACCCACAATGACAATGGCTCAACATGCAAACTCGTGGAGACTTGAACCTTGGTCACAAAGGTGTGAGGCATAAGTGCTAACCACCCCTTTAATGAACACTAATTCCTGTGAGATTCCACGGTGTGTGTTCAGTATTCTCACATGTTTGAGTGCCTGTGAGGCAGTTTGGGTTGGGTTAAGGCTGGACGACCACACCTAACTGTGAGGTAGGGTGGTTGTGAGCAGGTTGGGGATGTGCTGGCTGTATGCAGTGAGATAACATATGGCTAGGATTGCACATGCTGCTGAGAATGACCCTGTGCAGCATGTGCATGCGGGTGCCGTCTATTGGATTAACATACCTTTACGAAAGTGCTCATGCATTGTCGGGGATAGTTTGTTGTTGGAGGTTCCTTTATATATAGAGAAAATGAAGATTCCCATAGAGAAGTGAGCTTAAAAGTAAATACCTCAAATTTTTTTATTTAGAATGTGCATCCATGCTGCAGCAGTAAAACGTTGAATGTGGTGCTAAAGGTGCAGCAGTAATGTGTTGGTTGCAAGATATGTTTGTTACTGAGGGCATTTATATGCTGCTGGGAGCCTCCCCTATAACTACACTGCTCAAAAAAATTAAAGGAACACTTTTTAATCAGTGCAGCATCGAGTCAGTTACACTTCCGTGATATTGATCTGGTCAGTTAAGTAGCAGAGGGGGTTGTTAAACAGTTTCAGCTGCTTTGGTGTAATGAACTTAACAACAGGTGTACTAGAGGGGCAACAATGAGATGACCCCCAAAACAGGAATTGTTTAACAGATGGAGGCCACTGACATTTTTCCCTCTTCATCTTTTCAGACTTTTTTTTTTTTCTCGCTAGTTTTGCTTTTGGCTGCGGTCAGTGTCACTACTGGTAGCATGAGATGACACCTGGACCATACAGAGGTCGCACAGGTACAGTAGTGCAACTCCTCCAGGGTGGTGCATCAATATGTGCCAGAAGGTTTGCTGTGTCTCCTAGCACAGTCTCAAGGGCATGGAGGAGATTCCAGGAGACAGGCAGTTACTGTAGGAGAGCTGGACAGGGACATAGAAGGTCCTTAACCCATCAGCAGGACCGGTATCTACTCCTTTGTGCAAGGAGGAACAGGCTGAGCACTGCCAGAGCCCTACAAAATGACCTCCAGCAGGCCACTGGTGTGAATGTCTCTGACCAGACAATCAGAAACAGACTTCATGATGGTGGCCTGAGGGCCCGACCTCCTCTAGTGGACCCTGTGTCCACTGCCCAGGACCGTGGAGCTCGATTGGCATTTGCCATAGAATACCAGAATTGGCAGGTCTGCCACTGGCACCCTGTGCTTTTCATAGATGAGAGCAGGTTCACCCTGAGCACATGTGACACGTGAAAGGGTCTGGAGAAGCCATAGAGAACATTAAGCTGCCTGTAATGTTGTTCAGCATGACCGGTTTGGTAGTGGGGAGGCATATGCATGGAGGGACACACAGACCTCTACAGGCTAGACAACGGCACCTTCACTGCCATTAGGTATCGGGATGAAATCCTTGGACCCATTGTCAGACCCTACGCTGGTGCAGTGGGACCAGGGTTTCTCCTGGTGCACGACAATGCCCGGCCTCATGTGGCGGGAGTATGCAGGCAGTTCCTGGAGGGTGAAGGAATTGATACCATTGACTGGACCCCCACAATAGATCACCTCTGGGACATTATGTTTCAGTCCATCCGACGCCACTAGGTTGCACCTCAGACTGTCCAGGAGCTCAGTGATGCCCTGGTCCAGATCTGGGAGGAGATCCCCCAGGACACCATCCGTCGTCTCATTATGAGCAGCTCCGATGATGTCAGGCATGCATACAAGCATGTGGGGGCATACAAACTACCGAGTACCATTCTGAGTTACTGCGACGAAGTTTCGGCAAAATGGACCAGCCTGCTGCATCATTTTTTTACTTTGATTTTTGGGGTGTCTTTGAATTCAGCCCTCTGTAGGTTGATAATTTTCATTTCCATCAAATGATGGGGCATCCTTCCGTTCCCAACACATTATCCAGTCCATATCAGTATACTTATCAGCATGATTTTTTTCCCCCATTGAGATCTGTGTTTTCAGAGTGTTCCTTTAATTTTTTTGAGCAGTCTATATTCCTGCTATATTTAAAGAAATTGGCATATTTAATGACAGAATTGTTTCAAGGCAGCTTGTGTCTGTTTTGATCAGTCGTTTTTAAATATGTTGTGCCTGTGGACAATGCTGCATTAGGTCGATAGTTTATTCTGAATGTATTGTGGGGAAACTTATTCAGAATAGGATAATGTCTTTTAATTTCTCATTTAAATATTTGACTGTTAATAATGTGGTTATCTGCTGCCTCATTATCTTTTTTGAGACTGAGAACGAGTGTGATTAAATGACATGAAATGATCTGCTGGAAAAGTTTGTCAGAGGCTGGAAGAGTAAATATTTGAGTTGAGTTTAAGTAATTTCACTGTATATGATATGTTGCAACATATTGGCAACTGTTGGCAATTTCATCAGCGGTCTAGTGTTTCAGTTGAACCATATCAGTTCCGGACATCAGTCAAAGCAGTGTGTGATTGTGATGACTGTGCCACTGACCTGTGATTGATAAAAGACTGTGAGCCTGATTTGGGTATACATTCAAATGATTTTAAATAAAGCAGCACGTGTTGCTTTGTACTGTACTCTGTCGGCATGCTGACATTGATGCTCTAGGTCAGCCAGTCAGACAACAGCTTTAACAGCCTCAAACCCTTTTCCTCAGTTAGATGTAGGGTGCCATATCTCCAAGCCCAGAAGACAGGATGCTTCCTACAGTTTGGCTGAGACGTATTAAGGTGGTGTCCTAAGTACTAAGGGGGGTGGTGTCCTGGACAAGAAATGTTTGACTGGCAGCTTTGCAAGACGGTGGGGTGGCCTCCTCTGCATGGGCCGTCTGAAGGAAGGGCTGGAATCATGTCAGGGAGCCCGTCACCTCACACTGATCTATGGATGCTGGCCAGAAGCTTAATCAATGGACGTGCAGCTAGGTGTATCACTGAGAGAGAGGAAAGCTCAGGGCTTAGCTGTGCATATACCCCAGAAAATGTCTGAAACATCAGCACATGGTTATCAACACTGAAATGATGAGGTGGGTCTGGTTGTACCTGCATTTTCATAGTGTTTGTATTTAAAATGATGCATTAGCTCAGAGTGAGAGCCACACAGTATGTGGTCGCCTAGATGTCAGATCCTGCTGTTGTCGCAGGCCATGTCAAAGTGCACGTGAATGCGGCCATTTGCAGCACATCACTAGGAGCAGAATGTTGCAAAGTTCCAGTGCTGAGCGAGAGACTCCTCTGTGTGGACAGGCAGCCAGAGCAGCTGAGGAATTCTCTGGGCATGTTCAGCAGTGGGATGGACCCTGACTACTAAAGAGCCAGAGAGAGAGAGCGAGTGAGTGAGTGAGGGAGGGAGAGAGCGCGGGCTAAGCAGAAGGAAGAGCGAGCTAGCAAGAGAGCGAGCGAGAGAGGGCGGGAGCGAGCGGGAGAGAGAGAGAAGCTTCAGACAGCAGAATCTATACAGAATCTAAAGATAAGGGGAAGGTTCGCAGGCTCTCCAGGACTCCGGTGGAAAGACGGCAGGAGAGGCTTAAAGACGACAAGTGGTGGGCTTCACGTCTCGCTGGGGGAAACCAGGAGGAAGGGGATTCAGCGGAGACACCTCACGCAAGCTGTCAAACACAGAGGCAGGTCAGGGGGAGGTCTCTGACCCCTTGTTTTTATTTCAGAGCACAGAGGAAGACTGAACGAGGTAGGGGAAAGTGGATGTTAAAGACAGCCAACCATAAAGATCCATACTCCTCCCCTTCCATTCATAAATCCATTACATTCCATTGCTATAGCGATGTGGAGTCGTTCTTTCCGATTGGTGGAGGAAGGGTCCCATTCAGAGGCTTAACCCCACGCGCTGCCTTTCATCACTCCCATCTCTCTATTTCCTCTGTTTTGTTTCTTCCATTTGGTCTTTGCATTGCTCTGCTGTGCTGCTTGGCATTTTTTCTTCTTTCTTTTTGTTTGTGTGTGAGTGCATGTGTGCGTGCGTATGTAAAAGCGGTTGTCTCGCAAGCTATCATTGTTTGGTTTTGGCATAAAATACAGCAGAGCGAAAAAGGAAGAGGACGGGGGAAAAAGAAGAGGCATCCTTATAGGAGAAAGGATAGCAGTCTAAGGACCTTGGACTGCGTAAACAGCTGCCATTCATTGGAAAGTGAATTGAGATTAAAGAGTCGGCGTAAAACAGGTTGACAACCATTTCAGTTAGCCACAGATTAAAGGCGGCTGAAGTAGTTCTCTGGCAAAAGTTCTACCCAGATAGTTCCAGGAAGGAGCACCGCAGCCATGAAGGGGGACTCAGAGGAGAGTATAGAGAGCTTGCGACCTTCCAACTTGCAAGCCTTTGCCAACAACTCTACCCTCCATGGCATGAGCCACATTTTTGCCTATGGGCATATGACGTTCCGCCGCTTCTTGTGGACACTGTCCTTCTTGGGTTCATTGGGCCTGCTCCTGCTGGTATGCATGGACCGCATCTCATACTACTTTGAGTACCCACACGTTACCAAGCTGGATGAAGTGGCAGCACCCAACCTCACCTTCCCCGCCATCACGTTTTGCAACCTGAATGAGTTCCGCTTCTCCAAGATCACACGCAATGACCTGTACCATGTTGGGGAATTGCTTGCCCTGCTGAATGAGGACTACCAGATTGCTAACCCGCACCTGGCTGAGCCTGATGTCTTGGCGGCTCTCAAGGATAAGGCCAACTTCCTGAACTTCAAACCCAAGCAGTTCAACATGACCGACTTCTACAACCGAACTGGCCATGACATCACCGACATGCTCCTTCAGTGTACTTTCCGAGGAGAGGAGTGTTACCCCATGAACTTCACCACTGTGAGTCTTGCTCCTTGAGATGTCAAGTCTCATTTCTGATTGTTTGTGCAAGGACCCATTTTATTTGTTTGCATATAGTAGCAGTAGTTGTTTGCATATTTTGGCAACATACGTTACCACATGCCAAAAACAGATCAGGTCTTTTCTCTGTGCTGTGACTTTTCTGTACTAGAAAAATTGTAATTTCCGGAAATCGAATGTAAAATTCAAGCAAATGAAAACTTTACTTTTGGTCTGGATGAACATTTTGCAGAACAGAGCAGATAGAAAACAATGAATGCAACATTTCAGGTTCCTGTCACTGAAGATGTAAATTGAATCGTGGAGTTTACACTATGGGGGACTGGGCAGGCGTAGCAATTGGAGATCTCTGTCCCCCAGGGGTTAACACCAGTAGCTTTGACCTGCTGTTTGGTATTGGTGTGTGTCGAACACACAGGAATTTCCAAATATGTGGTCTTTACCGGCAGGCAGCATTGGTTCGCTTTTGAGACATCAGGCAACAGTAACTTTTTAATTAAAGGAAAAATCTTTTCATTGAACGCACATTTGCCATTTTCTTTATTTACTTATTGAGTTCTGGTGACTGCATGCTTTTTGTTATCCTTATGCTGTGAGCTGTAGTGACTTTGTAAATAGAATTCTTATCTGCCTTCCTGTACGTTGCCCTGATATCTCAGGTATCATTCATCTGTCTAAATCAGATACTCCGCCTACTACAGAAAGTTATGTTAGGCTTTTTTTTTTTGTATGTTTGTTTGTTTGTTGGTTTTTTTAGGGTGACTAAATATGTTTGGTGTAGTAGTGATCCCTATCTTTGATTGGGGCAAATTTTAAATTTTAAATGGAAATATTTAGTATACAAATGAATTTGTCATTAAAACAACAGGGAAAGATTATTGAAATAATTTGGTGATTATTGTGAAGTAAAATGGGAGCTGTGATATTCATATTTCGTGAAACCAAATTGCGCTTATCTGAAGATGGTCAGCGCTGTTAGGCAGAGTTTGCTGAGGACCAAGGGCATTATCGGAGTCCTGATATCCTCTTCTTGATTGCCACTGAAAGCGATGAGGATATATGTTCTCTGTTTTGCCTTGCGCTTAACTTAGATTCTGTTCATTCATGCATGACATAACTGTTCCTGTCCAGGTGGTTCATTGCACACACTTATGCAGAAATTACATTTTTTGAATGGGCTAATTACTTGGTGTTATAATCTGAGGGTAGAACTGTTATAATCAAGGGTAGTACTGTTAGCTTAATGCAACTGTAACGTAGCCTTTAGCCTGGCTGGCCAGGATACCCTGCTCTGAATAGTGAACAGGAAACTGAAATGTCTGAAGAAACCAGACCATGACTTTGGGCCTCAGCAATCTGAAAACAATACGTCCAGCAAGCGTCATGCCTATCATGGCATTACCTGTCATCTGTCTAAGCAGTAGGGGGATGTGTGGCAGGCTAATAAAGGATAATGTGCAGCCCACCTCCATATATTTAGGTAAATATCAGTATGAGTAAGTTGTCTCCTAAATTCTGCCTCCATATCAGTGCTTACCCTTCATTAAAACTTCTGATTTATTTTGTCAGTGATGTGTTTGACAGCTCATTGCATGAAATTTCCTTATCTACTGTACTCTGACCATTATTTTTAGTTGCAGACAATATATTTATGATTCATTTACCTTATGACCATAGTGTTTGTTCTCATAAAAGAACGCAGGTATGGTGGCATGTGGTCAGTACAGTGTTACTGGGAGACATGCCTTTTATGAGTAATTTACTCTATTTTTGGAGGCAATAATGATCCATTATGAATTTTAAAACATCCAAAGTAGAAGTACAATTCTACTGTCATAGATAATGAGTCGTTAGCCAACATCTAAGTCCTCTTCGGTTCATACCATGTTGAGAGAAAGAGTTGTGAAAAGAGAGAATACACTGGCCATATTAAACTGAGCAGCATGTATTTATAGCTCTCAAAGGGCATTCCTATTTAAATGTATGATGAGATTCAAGTTTGAGGAGCACAGGGAATATTTAACTTGCATTATTTTTTATGTCAGATTACATTAAGCATTAACAAAACATTTGCTGTGTGATTCAGCAGTTTTGTTTTGTATTGTTTCTGAATTCTTTTAGACTGAAAGCACAGGCACATCAATACAAAAATGTGCTGCCAAGGGAGGGTTACAATAGCAATATGCAGTTTGAAAGTGCTTTATGGGTGTCGCTCTGGGTACATTTTGACAGTATTTGTGCTGTCTGTTTACTTGCTTACACTCCAGTGCCCTGAGAACTTGTCATGGCTGCCGTGAAGGTGGGCTGTTCTCACCGGTACCAGGGGGCCCATCTGAGCTGGCAACAGAGAAATCTATTTAGATAAACCCTGTCTGGTGAAAGTAGTATCTATGTAAAATTTAGCTGGCTGAAGTCTTGCAATCACTGGGATGTCGTCTCAGAAACACAACTGTTACAAGGCAACTGAATGACAAACCGTCGTTTGTATGAGCTTCCCTTTTATTGGGAGTGACTCATGGTTGGTGGAATTAGCGCATGCTTGTCAATGAACGGTTTTACCCATTTCTCTAACTTTTGGTTAAAATTTCCAGGTGATTGTCAGGATGTGCCTTTGAATTTCTCATTTTCAGTCTCAGTTTTCAGACTACTGCTTCTAACTCAGTACTGAATTTTGTATGTGTTTAAATAGGTAAACTGTAGCACTATACTTGTAAAGGTTGCATATCAGATGCCATTATTGTTTCGTACTTGCTAAAGCAGAATGTATAAGGCACTCGTATAAAAACAGAAAAAAAATTTTTTTTGACACTAAGCAGATGTGGTTCTTGGGAAAGAAGTAAATGACACAGTCATATAAATCTGGACAGCGCAGTGAACAAGGAATCGAACCGTTTCACTTGCCATGGCTTACCACTTTACCAATGTATCTTTGGGAGTCCTCTAGTCATTTGTCAAAGTAGAATGAGACATTTTCTACCATTTAAAAGCATTACAGTATCAGTCGTTTTAATGGTGCTTCAGTCTTTGCTAATCACAGATGCACCAATACATTGGGATGAGGCCTGATATTGGGTGAGACCAGCTTTCCTTTTAGTGCGTTTGAATTTACTAGGTCTCACAGGTAGGATACCTGTCTCAGTGGTTACAGTAGATTTATGGTCAGTGAATGGTTTGTGGGGCAATATGAGTTTTTGGGTTAGTGGACATGCCATATGAGTAGAATAGCAGCACAGAGAGCAGGCCTAACAGTGTAGGTTTTTATTGGGAGAGGAAAAAATGTCAGGACTATGTTCTACACAAGAAAGGTGGGAAGCCAAAAAATGAACAAAAAACTATAGGCTTCCTGGAGCTATGCTGTTTGGACCCGTAATGATACCACTACACTTACAAACCCATGTATGTCGCGTTACCTGGAACATACCCAACAACTTCTGAAATCTCTTGACCTCATCCAGCTGACTATATTTAATCCTAAAAAGGTAACACTTCCTGTCAGGGTCATATAGGTGTCATTGACATGTCTGCAGGCAAGGGTGGTGATTGAGTGCTGGAGAAGCTCATTCAGATGCAGCTCTGTCATTTGTTATACTTTTTGTTGGCTCATATCACATAATTTTTTTCTTAATGTCTTAATGTTTTCTTTGTTCTCAGGCAGCACTGGTGGGGGGCAGAGAGTGAAAGGGACTGAAGCTTGTTTTGGGGGAGTTTGTTGCCTCTGGTGTGAAGGCTTTGTCCAGTATCTCGTGTACAAAAAGCTGATAAGAAGTTATTAGCAGTTAAGGCTAACCTACCTCCCTGCTTTTTGATGCTATTAGTACAGTATACTCTAGTAAATTATGGACTCTTCTTACAAAGCAAATGACAGGCGATTTTCAGTAATTTCTAATGGTGAGTGTATGGAGAATGCCTCTCTTCACCTTTGCATACTTAAAGGCTTGTTGTATACTGGTTCTGTGTTTTTTAAAAATCTGTTCCTGGCCAACTTTCAGTTATTTGCCCCCTTGCTATTCTATAACAGAATTTTAGAGGTGTGTAACAAATGCACAATGTTAAAAGGCAAATTCTCCGAACACAAGTGACTGACAGGTTGCTTCTGCAGTTAAACACCCACAAGCCCATTTGTTAGTGAAATATGACATGAATATTATAATGGGGAATTTCACAGCACGTGCTCCTTCAAAGACAAATGAGGACATCACCTTTGTTGAACTGGTAAGTGCCTTGACTGGCACTGATGGTGATTTTTATTGGCCAGAATGTGCTGTTACTATGAATGCCAAAAAATAGATGCTGTTTTCTCACTTAAAAACTAGATGCTTAGTTGATGCTTGTATCCAAAGCAACTTAGTTTGCCTATTTTTATATGATGCATGTTTTTATAGAGCAATTTTAAGTACTTTCAAAAGAATATATATGTATTCAGCCGTGATCATGTTGGGGGCTATACCAGAAACTGTGCACTTATGTCCGTGTGCATGCTTGGCAAACTACCCTAAACCCCTCTCTCCAATGATTGTGACCTTCATTGCATTGACAGTTATTGGATAAAAAGGAGTGATGGTTGAATGGAATGGCAGGGCTTTAAGTGGGCTGCTTTATTTGTAAATTGTTTTATAAATACATATTACAAGTTGAATTTGGTTAGGTATTTTTAATACAGTGTTTTGAATTTTGTAAATATGTTGCTTGATTTGGCACTGAATGATCATTTGGCCCTGTAGCCCAGAGACTAACGTATTATAAAGTTTACACTCCTAGCTCGCCCATGGCAACCCAACAGGATAACCTAAAAGGATAATGAGACCAGTCAGGGCCAGCTGGTTGTCTGCAGGTGTGAAACTTGCATGAGGTCAGCCAAAACAAATCATGTGCCTGCCTTCCACTAGCTTTTACAGTACACATTAAGAAACTTTGTGGATGTTGAAAATGGTGTTGGCATGATCTTGGAGTCTTGTATATTATTTCAGTTTCTTTTTGAA